CTAGCTCCACTCAGCTCTTTATCCTGCTGACCTTTGACCTTTGACCCATTGTATCCACCATGATTTCTCCCAAATTCCTAGGGTGCTCACTGCATCACAGACACAGGCCTTCACACATGCCACTTTGCAGTGTGACCTGAATCCTGAATTCTCCCTGTGTCTAGCTTCCTTTGTCAAATCCGTATCCACCTTTCTCCACTCCTCAGAGCCTTGAGCAGAGTTAAGCGCAGACCAGCTGCTCAGTAAATGTCTGGCTGACTGGGATAGGGTAACTTCCTCCTCCTCTCTGATTGTCTACATCCTATGCATTGTTCCAATCCAGCTTCCTCTGAGGTGGCTTCGTGCATGATGCCCCACGTTGATCTCATGGCTTGCTCTTGGTGTAAATCCACACTTCGTGGATCTCTCACCCCTTTTGGGATGACATGTCTGAGCACGCACTCCCAGTATGCATGTATTGTCCGTTATGTCTAACCTTGGCATGTGTCTTCTTGTATCCTAACTCTCTGGAACACTGGTCCACTCCCAGGAGAGCATACACCCCACATTGGAGACCACAGGGTCCAAAACCTCACTTGGCCCTTTACTGCAGCCTATTTTGTGTTAGGCTTCATCTTCATGCACCTGGACATTAGGCTGGGTATGCTGCCCTTTTGGGATGTGCAAGTCACAACTTCTGGTCCTAGAGTTTGAGGCATGTAATTCTCAGTGTAGGAGTCTGACTGTAGAGTCATTTGAGACCAGGGAGCCCATCACCAGGAAACTCGACATTTGATTGGGCACAGAGAGATGAACTTATTTTAAAGAAGGCCCATTGTGCCTGGCACAGAGTAGGAACTTAACATATGTTGAATTAAAATAAAAACAACTGTGATGGCAATTGTCCAACCCCAGGGTCCCTAAATGTTTGCTTGTGAGCCTTGTAAAAGAATTTTGAGAATCTATGTACTCATCCTCACGGTTTTAAATTGTCATTTACAGTTTTTCATCATAAGTTTAAATAAGTATATTTCCTATTAATAATAGAAAATATTAACTATTTTATATGGTGGAATAAGGTAAGAATTGACTATAATTGGAGTAGATATTTTATATTATTTAATAAAAACATATTTTCATTACTTTATTGATTAAAGCATAGCATATCTGAAAGACATAAGGTGAAATTTTTGTGTGTGTGATTTATTATATTTTGAAATATCCAATTGCCCTGCAAAACTTCCAGTTATGCTTCTTTAAAAGGATCAGCATCACAGCCTTATATAATTTTGGATGTTCTGAATGCTGAGCCTTCCGGGGCCAACATGGCCGTCTGTCTTGCAGAAACGTATATAAGACAGAGGAGGACAGAAAGCCTTATGAGCTTGAGGGCTTTGATTTATTGTTAATTTAAATTTATCCCATTGTTTTATGCTCCATCCTGCAGCAAAGCATCAAAGCAAGATTTAGGATGGATGAAGGATATATTTCTCTTTTCTAAGGTGAGTAAAGATATATTCTGAGTATAAGTTCATTTTCAGCAGATTAATATTAGCAAAGAATATTGATAGTCATTGATACCTTTATAACTATCCTTGCCTGAATATCACATGGAGAGTCTTTGCGCCCCCAGGTAAGTGTACATCCCAGGTGGAGGAACGCCAGCTTCATCCCCTGGCCTGGCGAGGAGATGGGTGAAGTAGAGGGATGTCAATTGCTGCCTGCAGCTGGGGAGCGAATGCCCCCTTTGGCTCTGTGCAGAGTCTGGCCATCGTCTTCCCCGGGAAGCTGGCAAATCAGCCTGCCAGAGGAGATTAGATGGTGAATAATCAAGATTAGAAGCCAAGACAGATCGGAAGTGTGACGGAGCTGGGGCACCCAACAGAACACATCAGCTCTCAGAGGAGCTGGGAGCAGAGTGGCAGGAGGGAGACAGGGCAGAGCACAGCAGCCAGGATGCCCCGGCGGTCAGTCCAGGCAAGTGAAAGTGCGCATGGTTGTGTTTGTCAGCCCTTTGCTGGGAAACTGAGAGCTTAGGCTCACGGATCCCTAACCTGTAGCCTTGTCTTACAGAAGGAAAATTGTCTAGCTTTTGTAATGCAAAGGGCTTTGACTATAGTGGGTTGTTAAGTATGAAGTATCTGATTTTCTTAAGTACTAAGTTGGACAGTTGGTGTCTCTGACATTTCACTTTGACACTTCTTGTTTTATTTTTATTGTGAGGGTACATCCCCAGTCTTTCAGACAGACAGTTTGGCTTGTAGTTATCTTTCAAATTTTTTTAAAGCAATTTTTATGAAACCACGGATAAGTAAAACATCGTGTTATTGTCGAATATGAGTTCTGTCATGGAACCAATGCAGCACAGACAGCTTGAAATATCAACGAAGTGTTTGGGAGGGATGCGGCTGATGAACGCCTGGTACATCAGTGGTTTGAGAAGTTCCATTCTGGTGATTTTAATCTTGAAATTGAGCCACGTGGGTCACCTAAGACCAAAGTGGATAATGGTGGGCTGAAAGCTTCAGTGGAAGCGAATCTACCTCAACCTACATGTGAATTGGCAACAGGGTGTGACGTTACTATCCCAGCAACGTTGGGCCATTTGAAACAAATGGGCAAGGTAAAGAAGCTGGATAGATGGGTTCTGCATGAACTAAATGAGCATTAGAAGATAAATTGTCTTGAAGCTTGCCTTTCTTTGCTGTCATGACATAAAGGTGAACCATTTCTACATCATATTATTATGTGTGATAAAAAATACATTTTTATTGACAATCGCAAGCATTTGGCACAATGGTTGGATAAAGAAGTGCCAAAACACAATCCAAAACCAAATATTCATCCAAAAATGCCAATGGTGTCTGTTTGGTGGTCCAGCGCTGGTATTATCCACTACAGCTCCACGAAATCTGGTCAGTTGATTACAGCAGATGTCTACTGCAACCAATTGGACAAAATGATGAGGATGCTTGCAGTTAAGCAGCCGAGATCAGTCAATAGAGACAGCCCAATCCTCCTGCAAGACAATGCTCAACCACATGTCGCACAAACAACGCTGCTCACACTACGGAAGCTGGACTTGGAAACTCAGTGTCATCCACCATATTCCCTGGCCCTTGCACCAACTGACTACCCTCGGACCACTTCTTGCAAGGGAAACAATTCAATTCTCAACAAACTGTGGAAAACGTCTTTCACGACTTCATCGCCACTTGCTCTCCAGGCTTCTTCACTGCTGGCATAAACAAGCTACCATTAAGATGGCAAAACTGTGTCAATAGTTAAGGCAAATACTTTGATTAATTGTACTTCTTCTTGTTTGAAATATAATAAACTACACTTTTGATTCAAAATTAGACATTTCATATGTCTGATTAATTTTAGTTTAATGAACTAAACTAGTCTGGCATCGTCCTCTGGCTCTGCACCTCTCGAGACCCCTGCTTGTGTTCTGGTCTCCACGTCTTATTCTTCTCTGGCAAAGCAAGCACCACCTGACTTTCATGCCCAAGCCATCCCTGCCACCTAGAACGCCCTCCACGTTAACTCACAGATTGTTGCCTCTGATCCTTCCTTCCAACAGCATGTTTGTTCCTACCTGCCCCCTTACAGCAGAATTTCTCAAAATGGGATCTGTTTCTCCCAGCATTACCTGGGATTTTCGTTGGAAAAAAGAGAGTAAATTTCTAAGAGAAATCTGGAGACGCTGATTTGGTAAGTCTAGAATTTGAATGTGTAATATTGCAACTCCTGTGACAATACCTGGAAACCTAGGTATTTATAGCTGTCCAAGTACCTTGGTGCTTGTACATTTTCTAGAGCTTGGGCTCCACCACGGTGCAGCTGGCGACTCCCTCAGTGTTCCTGGGCCCCCTTCCTGTCTCTGCTGGGGCACCCATCACATCCTACTGTAATTTAATTGTTTACCTACCTGTCTTCATTGGTCTCTGAATGCTCAAGAAGGGAAATGCTCTTCATTTTTGTTGACTCTATACCAAGCACAATACCTGGTACATAGCGGTGTTTAATTGTTTGTTTAGTGGTTAATATGATTTGAATGTCTGTGTCCCTCCAAAATTCATGTTGAAACTTAGTCTCCAATGCAATAATACTAGGAGGTGGGCCCTTTAGAAGGTGATTAGGCCATGAAGGGTCTGCCTTCGGGGATGGGATTGTGTCCTTATAAAGTGGTTTGAGGGAGAGAGTTCATCCTCTTTTCCCTTCTACCATGTGAAGACACAGCAAGAGGTGCCATCTATGAAACAGGGAGGGAGCCTCCACCAGGTGCCAAGTCTGTTGTCACTTTGATCTTGGACTTTCCAGCCTCCAGAACTGTGAGACCTAATTTTCTATTAATTATAAATTACCCAGTCTAAGGTATTTTATTGTAGCACTAGGAATGGATTAAGACAGTGGTCAGCTGTCCCTAATAAATGGTACACAAGAGAGAATGGAGTATGTCAGAATTACCCTCCTGGGTATCAGCATCAGTGAGCCTTATGCTCTCAAAGTTAGAGAGAACCACCTGCTAGGATGCAGGATTACACTACCTGGCTTTGCAAGAGGCAAGGGGAAGATCCAGGTAGCATCGGGCAGTGAGATGTTTTGCAGCATGGAGCCAACCCCAGTGTCATTGGACTTCTACCGACTGGTCAGGATTGTGGGGGTAGTGGTGACGTCTGCTATGGTGGCCACGTGTGGTGGGCGGCAGTTCTGGGCTGCTCCCAGCCCAAATAAACAATGAAAGCAAGCATGAACACAGCTGAGACTGACTGGTCACCAAAAGTTGGCTGTAGGCTTATGCAGTTTATTGGATTCGTTATGGGGCGGTGACAGTAATGAACTAACTGACACATGTTTCCCTTTCCTTGCCCAGGAATAGGATCTAAGTTTATGTGAAGCAACAATATATCCAGCTGAAAACTACATTTCCCGGTCTCCCTTGTTGAGAGAGTGACTGCTGAAATTTAAGCAAATGTCCTTGTGTCTGCCCTCTGCTCTTCCTTCTTCTTGCAGCCTGGAACACAGACTGTAGCTACAGCAGCCAACCCCCAGCCAAGGACGGATGCCCTGAGCAGGGAGCAGAAAGTTAGAAGTAGTCGGGGTCTCTGCTGATGTCATGGGACCAACGTGTTAGCCATGGATTACCTACCTTCGGGCCTCTTATAAGTGAGAGGCAAAGCAACCAAGCACACAAAGCCCTATATCATTTAAGCCACTCAAGTAAAGGTCTTCTGTACATGCATTTGACACCACTCTTGACTGATTCACATTGTTGGGTTCTTTTGTCCTGTGAGCTGATCACTGCATATAGATTTCTTGTTTGCTGTCTACATGATCTCTTAGAGATGCAAGACTCACGGTCCATTTTACAATTGCTATGCGCAGATTCTCGGGGTCCCTGATGCTGTCAGCCTGAGACAATGCAATCCTTTAAGTTATGTGAAAAGCAAGCAGCTGGGCTCACTAGCCACTTATGGCACCAACCAGATGGGTTTTCAAACTCTTCATTGAACCCACTGTGCCTGGGGAGCCCTGGAGGAGGGTTTTGTGGGCTCTTAATTTGGACCCAGAGGGACCACACAGCGGGAACTTGTTACTCCTGGGATTTTCTGCCTCAAACGAAGTTGCCTTTGAGTTTTAATTACATAGGCTTAAATCTTCCAGTCTGCATGCAGTCAACCCAAAGATTTTCTGAGTAGTGAATGCCAAGTTTATAAGGAAAAACTAGGGAAATTTCATAATGCTATAGAAGGAGGAACAAGCGTATACAAAACTATGTACTTTCGCAGGGAGGGACTTCAAGGTGCAAGGATTTCAAGTCCCCCAATAGGAATGAGTTTTGGCTGTAGCCTAGGTCATCAGTGAGACTATCTGGATAAAGCTGTTAGCATTGTTCCAATCCCAATGAAGTGAAGATAGGTCTGTAAGTCTGGCCTAGAACATTGCACTGTGTAGAAACTTAATCTAGCAGAGGGAAGTCCAAAGAATCCACATACAGTGACCAAAACAGCAGAAAAGGAGTCTGGGTATGGGTGCTGGTATGGGCTTTGGAGACCAAGAAAACAGGGTTCGAATCCTTTTGCTCTCTGTCATGAAACAAGGGCACAATACCCATTGGGCAAGGTTGTCAGGAGGATTAAATGAGAAGCCAATGTAAAGGGCCTGCCCGTGGGGAACACAGAAGGAGGCATGGGAGAGGTGAGCACAGTGTGATCTGATGGCCTGTGCCATCCAAATACAGTGGTCTGAGTCCAGGCCCCTTTACTTACTTGCTCTGTGACCTCGGACAAGTCAGCAAACCTTTCTAAGCCTTGATTTTCTCATGTACACGATGGGGCCAATAATAGCGTGGTTGTGAGAATTATGTAGTGTCATGAGTTGCCTTCCCATCACGCCTCATTCTTTCCTTTCCCTCCGAGTGTCAGATTGCTGAGCCCTGCTGGGAACAAGTAAGAGGTGCACACTGATGGGACTGCCCCCGTAGTCGGCCGCGCGATGTTGAGCTTTTAGAGTCAGTGAGCCTTCGTCTCACTCCCAGTTGATTCCCCACAAACCTCCTATCGCAGCTGTTCCTGTTCTCACTTTTCTCACAACTCAAATCTACTCTGGCCCTTCCCCGTGGCAGAGACCTCATCTCCCACTCCACAGAAAGGACCGGAGTCCCACTCGCATAAGGGAATTCCTCCTCTCCTCTTCCTGCGCTATGTGACCCTTACCATTCTGTCTTACCTAACAGAAAGATTTGTTTTCTATTTTAGACCTCTCTACCCCAAACCAGGTCGTTTTTCCTATGTCCTGTGCCTGTTAAATGGTACTGAAGCATTCAGAAAATAAACACCGGGACTGCCAAGGGGCGACCAGAGCTTCTTGAGAGCGCCTCCTCCCTTAAATTCAGTGTTGCTCGCCCTGTGCGCTCCCCCTGGCTGTCTCACATCCTCTTGTGACCTTGACGTACTTCTGTGCAGGTAGGTTTGTGAGTCTAGCTTGTCCTCTTTCTTCCAGAATGAAGACCCAGATTTTCACCTGTCAGCTGCACGCCTCCACGTGAGGGTCTCAAGAGCCTCAAACTCAACACTCAGCTGAACACGTTGCCTTTCCCGGCAAACCTGGCGTCAGTCACCCAGGAAGCCGGGCTCCGAGGCTCGCATTCTCTTCGGGCTGTGCAGGCAGCAGACCTCCTCCTCCTCCCCTCCCACGTCTGTGCCTGTGCCCTGGTTCCTCTGATGTGGACCAGTGAAGTGCTCCTCAACCGGTGCTCCCAGCCCAGCCCCAGCCCCACTCCCTCCCAACTGGCGCCACAGAGGAATCTGACGGAATTCAACACCCATTCATTACTTAAAAATAATAATAAATACGTAATCAAGTAAACCTCTGAGCAAACTAGAAATGAGAGGACAGCTAGCATGGCAAAGATGATCTGTCTCTAACTGGCAATCAGCACTATATTCATCAGTGAAATCCTGAGGTAGTCTCGTTAAAGCCACGAACCAGACAGAACTTCTCATCGCTATAATTAGCTGCACAATAAAGAAAGAAGGGCATGACCGTTACAAAGACAGGCAAAATTTTCTTATGGTATTTATTGATTTTTTTTGAGTAAATGGATGAAAGAATGAATCACATGGTAAAATATTTATGACATATTGTTAAGAGAAAAAATAGCAGCTAAAAAATATAAATAATGATCCCAATTTTATGGGGGAAAGTAAGTACTTTTTATTCAATGAATGCGAAAAATTTTCATAACTGATGAAAATTAGGTTGCCAATCCTAATTTAATTATATATTGTTTTCCCTAAAAGATTTTGAAAGATTTAAATGAAAATATTAACAGTATTCATCTTTGGGTGATGGCATTATGGATAATATTTAATTTTGTTTTTATGTTTATTTCACATAATTTATAGAGAAATGAATTCTTTTGAAATCAGGGAAATGTTATTTTTAAAAAGCAAGCTTTTGATTTGGTAAGTTCTAATATAGATACTAGGTAAAGTTTAACATCTTTTTTGTGGGTATCCAGTGATTAGCTACTTAATCATCCCTTTAACTTAATCATCCCCTTAACAAGCTTTAACCCCTCTCTTTTTATACCTAACCTTTCCTAAATGCAATATTTCTACTCTTTCCAAGAACTCCCAGGCATAAAAGATGCTTAGAGACACTTTGCTACTTAAAAAAGTGATTTGCTGGAAACTCAGACTTTTGGGGGGAGAGGGGGAAAGGGCATTTTTTTGAAACCTTCAAATTTGTACCCCCATAATATGCCGAAATAAAATAAAAAGTAAAAGAAATTTAATTTAATTTAAAAAAAGTGATTTGTTAGTTGGTGTCACAGTTCTCAGAACTTTAGTGAGCAAGTCATGGCCCCAGGACCAGGCATAGTAAAGTTTACCTGCAGCAGAAGTGCTATAGGGCTAGTTACCTCCACAGGGATAAAGAGAGGAAGACCCTGTTGGCCTATTGAGACAAGAGAACTGGGAGGGAACCTTGAACACTGAGTCACCAAGAGCACTGTTCAGTCCTGCTCCTGTGTATAGAAGTCAAGAAGACCCTCAGGATGCTTGTGACCCAAAACTACCACAGACGTGTCCAGCCCAATTCGAAATTAACAAACCCATCAGATTCAGGAAATTCAGCTGCACCTCCCAGTGACTTAATCCTCTCCCACTCGTGATGCTATTTTTTAGACCCTCTAGTCTTCAACTTGACATTGTCCCAGTGTTCAGATTTCTGAACTTCTTATTGTGAATTCTGTTACCAGCCTATAATACTGTTTCCCCAGCCAGTTCTCTGAGTTCGATGTCTACCCAGCTCGGCAGGTGGTGTGTACACTGCATGCCAGCAGCACTTCAGCTAATGTGACCAGTGCTAAAATCACAAAGTGTAGGGCATACTTTTGGGTATATTGTTGCTTAGGGATCATTGAGTTTCTTAGATCTGTGAGTTTATAATTTTCATCAAATTTGGAAAATATTTAGCCATTTCATCTTCTAATATATTTTCTCCCTCCCTTTTTTTGGAATCTAATTATATATATGTTAAACAACTTGCTGTTCTGCCACAATTCTCTGAGGCTCTGTTAATTTCATCCAGTCTTTTTTTTTCTCTGTGTACTTTATTTTGGATAACTTCTATTGCTATTTCTTCAAGTTCATTGATATTTTCTTCTACAGAGTTTAATCTCCTGTGAAGCCCAACTAGTGATTTTTTTTCCACCTCAGATATTTTACTTTTTAGCTTTAGGATTTCCATTTGGTTCATACACACACACACACACACACACACACACACACACACACACACATATACATATATGCATACATATATATGTATATATATATATATATCTTCCACTTCTCTATACATTATGTTGATGTTTTATTTTAGATCCTTGAGCATATTTAGAGCAGCTGTTTTTAAATCTTTGCTAATTCCACAATAGATGTTGATTCTGGTTCTGGTTCTATTGACTAATTTTCCATTCCACATTATGAATCTCATATGCTCCTTTTTCACATGTCTAGTGATATTTTATTGGATGTTGATCATTGTGTTATTATGTGGTTGAGTATGTGGATTTTGTTGTCTTCTTTTAAATAGTATTGGGCTTTGATGTGTCAGGCAGTTAAGTTATTTGCAAATCAGTTTAATCCCTTTAAGGACTGTTTTTTAAGCATTATCAGGGCAAGTAGAGAGTGGCTTTTACTCTGGGCTAGATAAGCCACCAGTACCCCTTCTGAAGACTATTGAATGCCTCAGCTATTTGAAATTCCTTCACTCTGGATTCTTGGGACACCAATGTCCACTGTCTCTCTGTGAGCTCCAGGAACTGTTGAGCGTACAGTTTCCTAGCAATTATTTGCCTGGCCTTGTGGGGTTGACCCGCTGCAGACTCATGGGATCTCTGTGCAGATTTCTCTGCATAGCTACCTCTTTTCTGGAATACTATCACACAAACTCCAGCCATGGGATTCCTCAACTCTCATCTGTGTCTCCTCAATTCAGAGAGACTGCCATGCATTGTTTGGGTTTTCTCTCCCCAGCTCTTGGTCTGGAGAGTGTGTTTGGGCAGAAGTTTCTTTTGATTGTAAGGATTGTGTCTTTTGTTTCTCTTCTCCCAGGGATTACAGTTCTGTGCTACCTTTTGTCTAATATTTCAAAACAGTTGTTATACATACTGAGTCTAGTTTTTTATTCTAGTAACAGTTACTATAACATGGCTGGAAATGAAGTTTCCCTTTGCTTGTATTTTTAATTTAATTAAGTGGCATGGTATTATATACATTTCATTCCCTATTTTATCATTAATTTTTCTTTTTTAAATTCAGAACTATGGTTATCAGATTAATTCATGTCTATATGTTTATATATAATTTGTAACTGTTGCATGATTGGGGCTTTATTTTGCAAAAATTAATCTGTCCGTGCTCCGAGGGTTGAACTGGAGAAGGAGGCTTGTCCTATTCATTTGTGTCTCTACATTTTTCTGTGCCTACTTTCACCAATAAAAATACTTTTGCTCATCCTTTCCACCAAAATATGTTCATAACTTTCTTAATTAAAAAATCTGAAGTGTTTCAAATGTATAGAAAAGTATGGAAAACAATGTAGTTGATATGTAAATACCAAAAGTCTAGATTCAAATATATTAATTTCTCTGTATCTGCCTCATATTCATTCATGTCTTTTGCCATGGTGATGTGGAATAAGATGTTTCAAAGCAGCTACAGCTCTAGCCTCATGCCTTCCACCCTGCCCTGCCTGCCCTAGGAAATCACTACAGGTCGGTGTGTATTTCCCAGTGCATGGCCCTGTGCTTTACTACATGTGCATTGCTTCAGAAATGGGTAGTATTTTGTGTGTTTTAAAACAATTCAAAAACGGCACCATGCTGTAAGTGCCGTTTTGCGACTTGCTTTGCGGCTCAGTATTAGGTCTAATATCTAGATTTATTGAAATTGGTAGACACAATTAATTTATTTTAACTGCTACATGGCATTCTACTATAATTCTTTATCATCCTACTAATGGAAAGTTTATTTTCAACTTTTGCACACATTTTCTTGTCCTTATGTCTCCATGTACTAACTTCATGAAACTGGGAAAAACTAAAAAGTCTAATAACACTAAGTGGGGTAAAAATATGGGGAAATGCAATCTATTGCACAATGCTGACGCAAGTGTAACTCTCTACAACTGTTTGGGACATCAATCAGTCATAGAGCCTACTGCTGACAAATGATCACATAATTTTGTAATTTGGTTAAGAAATTATCAAAACTGCTTTAATTTGGTTCTAGTTTATAAATTTCTATGTACAGTAAATGGCTTGTTATTCTAGCCATCTCAAAAACTGAAAACTGCTCTGGAACTTTTATACTTTGGAGGAATAAAAACCTCGAGGGGCTGGAAAAAATTTTAAAGCATTAAAAATGTCAGTAAGTTTATTGTATCTTCAGTTATATCTAAAATTATCAATAGAAAGAAAATTACTGATCTCTCACTGTGTCTTGCGCTAATGATGCTTTATGACATTCCAACGTTATTTCAAACATGCTTTATTTAAGTTAGCTTCCCTCTCCCCATTCCTAGCTCTGAATGCTGAACCCCTTCACCCTGCACCTCCTCTTTGCTCTGATGGGGTTGCTTTCTCTCTCTCTGCCTTTCAACACATCCCTGCTTTGCTTGGGATGCAACAAAACCCAGTGGTTCTCAACCCTGGTTCCTGGTTAGAATCACCTAGGGAGCTTTAAGAATTACCGATCCCTGGGACTCACCCCAGAGATTCTGATTAAATTGGATTTAGAGCCACTGTGTTCAGCAATTCAACTTACCAGGATAGAGCTTCACGCAAAACATTCAATCATGCATAGCACGTCTCTATACACTACACTTAGACATCTTCTTTACCTTTTGGATTCCTTTTGGAGTCTGGAATTTGGGCAGACCTTTCACAGGAGCCACCTTTACTTTAATTCCTGTTGACTGTGTAAATTTGGAGAAATTACTTAATTTTGGTGTTGCATTTTTCCTCATCTGTAAAACGGAGATAATAATCATCCCATACTTTTCGGGGCTATTGTGAGTATCAAATTAAATTATATATGCAAGTAAAGTGGAAAGCAATTCACAAATGTTAATTATTATGAGTCTCCCACCTCCACATACCATATGCTGCTTGAATTACAGCCGCATACACTGTGTGTTGACTTCTTTAATTTCCTGTCTATTTTTTGTATGTATACCTATATAACCTAGCTCTCAATACAATTAAGACTTTTTGGGAACAAGAAGCAAAATTTATAGTTATTTAGTGTATCTTATTTTCCCCATTTCTGAAGACATAGTGAGAAACAAAAAAACATTGAATTAAATGTATTAACAGAAACATAGTGCATAACTTAAACATTTTTCTTTTCTTATAGTACATATTAACTGTGGTGAGGCTATTGTACACACGCATACACCATATATATAGTGTATACATGTATAATACATATTGTACGTACAAACATACACTACATATATAGGTGTATGTATACATATGTGTGTATATTAATGTATATACCTATGGAATATATGGCAGGAGGATATTTTTGGCATAGTAACCTGTGATCTTTTTCCTGTCCACATTTCTCCTTTTCCTGTCTACCGTTTCAATCAGATAACTGTGTTCACTGATGCTTGCGTCATTGTCTGAGGGGAGGACTGTGCCAGGATCAAAAGCAGAAATAATCTATGCGTCCTTTTTACTGTAGAGTCTCTAAGTCTAATTTCGGAGCAGGCGCGGGGATTTGGGGCACAGACACAAAGTCTTGCCAGATACCGTGGAGAGCACAGAATGTTCCCATCTCCAGGCAAAAGAAAGATTTACTCAGGCTTAGGAAGAGGGGAACAGAGAGGGACATGGTGCTGGGAGGTGGCCTGACCCCAGAGAAGGAGGCCGGGAGCGGCATCTAGGCAGGCGGGCAACCTTGAAAAGATTCTAGCATCCCAAAGCTCAGGAAAGGTAGACAGCCTCTGGATCAGAAGGATCTGTCGTGCTGCGATGAGGACATTTTCCATGGCAACTCGTGTGGACAGATGGCCAAGGAAGGGATTTTCCTGCAGCTCCCTGTGTTGTGCCTCTGCACAGGCCTCTGAAACGGCCCACAGCGCTGGCCATTGTGGTGGAGGCAGAAGCTCATAAAGACCGAGGCCGACGTGTCTTAATAGCTTAGTAGCCAAATGGAGATTGTTCAAGAAATTAAAGAAAATTGTATTTTTTATGTATTTGGGAATGTGAGCTGTGATTCATACTCACTACATCTATGCATATGCGTATGTGTGTACAGCTATTTATACTTCACATTTGTATTTACACACACACACACACACACACACACACACACACACACACACACAACTCAGGGTGTCCTGCCAGAAATTACATTTGTATTTTTCCCTCTTTTCTAGAAAGAGCAATGTCAGAGAATCCCCTTGGAATCCCAGGTAGTAGCCCCACTATTGGGAAAAACTTCAGTGTTACCATGGAGTTAGCAGTAAGAGGAAAATGGCACGTTGAGACACCCGAGAAAGGTGGCAGCCCTGCGTGAAGAGAGTGCGCATAGCAGTCTCAGACAGTCTCTGACATACTATGCCACCACGTAATATATAAACAACAATGCTATGTTAATGTTAGCACGTTCCCATTGCTGATATGTTTTTGCTGATAGGTGGAGAATGGATATACAGTTTTATGGTACATTAAGAATTATAAAATCAAACCTACTTCATTAGCAATGACAAATTGTCATGATGATGACAGTGGCTAGTGATTTCCACAGCAGGACACGGCTAGGTTGTTTTTAAGGATTCTTAAAAAGAAGGCAACCCAGAGTTCTCATGTGTAGCCTGGAGTGTATATCCTTGGAGACAGGCTTTTAATTCCCAAGAGAAAAAAGATAAAAATTGGGCAATAACTGAGTACATTTGCTGAAAAAGAAAGCTGCTTGAAATGCGGAGTTGCGTCCACTCACCATAGCGTTCTTCTCCTGGGCCCTTCTTCCTGTCTGCAGTGCAGCCGCGACGTCTGTTAACAGAGACAGCAGTCTGTGATGCAGCAGCAGTCTTGCAACCTTGGGGACAAAAGCTACCTGATAAAGAAAGTAGAGCTAGGAGACAGAAGGGGATTGAGTTTTTGATAACTCCCTTAGGCAGCCAACAATTGTCCATGACTGGCCACCTCCAGACTTCTTGTTAGAAGAAGAAAATAATTTCCTTCTGTTGAAAGTGACTGTGGTTTGGTTTTCTGTTCCTTGCAACTGAATGGCTCCCTAATCACACTTCTATGCACAGCTACGATTGCCTGATATCATAAGAAACATTATACACATAGGGCAGCATTTATTGTGAATAATAGTAAAGGTAAATCCTACTTTACCTTCACTTTTAGAAAGTTTTCTTGGTAATTTTGAAGATTTCTGGCCAAGCCCTTGTCAAATCAGATCGGATTGCCACTACTTGTACTCAAAGTAGGGCTGTGTGAGAGCTCACACCAGAGGAGGAGGTCCAGTTCTTGCACTGTCTTGCTGTTCTCGTATGCTCGCAGTGTTACCATTATCTTCAGTCCAGAGGGTTTATTTTTTTTGGTAGAAACCTTTAAAGTCACTATTTTATCTTATGAGAGTTTAATTAACAATTTATAATGTGCATGTCCACATAATCAGAGTCACATAAAGTGCAAAAGGTGCATCTAATCTGAAAGCAAACAAGGGAGAATCTTAGTTTTCCCAACCTCCCTTCCTCAACAGACATGAACACCGTCCACTTCCTCAGGACCCAGGAGGCTGTATGTGCTGGACTGAGCACAGGCAATGTTATTAGTCTGGATGCTAAATAGTGATAGAGCTCAACTTAGATATTTTAGGGATTAAAATAAACATAGAATATGGTACATTAGATATTCTGAAGGGATATTCTAAAGGAATATTGGAGCTGAATCAATTGTTATAATACAGCTAGATTTTGAATAAATTATCCCCTTCCAAATTATTTTTAATTGATTGCTGGGATTGCAAGAAAGTCTGGGAAATTTTCAAAGATGTTAGGTAACTAAGTCTCATGTTTTATAAAAAATATTAACTCATCATGAATCATGAACTTAAATTTTAAACATAAAACTATGAAACTTTTAAGAAAATCATAGGAGAAAAATCTTCAGGATTTAGGGCTAGGCAAAGAGTTCTAAGACTTGACACCAAAAACATGCTCCACAAGAGAAAATATGTTAATTTGGATTTCATCAAGAGTAAAACCATTTGCTTTGCAAAAGACCTTATTTTGAAGATGAAAAGTCAAGCTACAGACTGGGAGAAAATATTTGCAAACCATATATCTGAAAAAGGACAGGAATATGTAACATATAAAGAACTCTCAAAACTCAGCAGTCAAAAACCAAACAATCCAATTAGAGAAAGGTCAAAAGATGTGAAGAGAGATCTCACTTGAAGAAGATACTCAGTTGGCAAGTACACACATGAAAAAATGTTCAACATCAATTAGCCATTAGGGAGATGCAAATAAAAACCACAATGAGGTATAACTACATCCCTATCAAAATGGCTAAAATAAAAAATAGTAACAACACAAAACGTGATGAGGGTGAGGAGAAATTGCATCACAATTTCCAAAGTGGTACAGCCACTCCAGAAAACAGTTTGGCAGTTTCTTAAAAAAACAAAAACATAAACAAAACCCACACAAACGCCCAAACTAAAAATGTAATTAGCATGTGACCTAGCAATTGTGCTGAGCATTTATGCCAGAAAAATAAAAACTTATATTTATATCAAAACCTATAACCAACATTTATAGTAGCTTTATTTATAATAGCTGTAAACTGGAAATAACCTAGATGTCTTTTAATTGGTGAGTGGTTAAACAAACTGTGGTACATCTATATCATGAATTACTAAAAAGGAATGAGCCACTGATACCTGCAACAATCTTGATGAATCTCCAGAGAATTATACTGAATAAGAAAACTCAAACCCCAAAGATAAGACACTATACGATTCTGTTTCTATAAAGTTCTTGAAATGACTAAATCATAGAAATGAAGAACAGATTAGTGCTAGGGGTTAAGGAGGGGATATGGATGAAAGGGAAGAGGGGCTGGTTAAAGGGCAGCGTGGGATCCTGTGGTGGTGAAATGTTCTCTCTCTGACGTATCAAGTCAATATTCTAGCTGTGATATTGTTTTGTAGTTTTGTGAGATGTCATCATTGGGAGAACCTGAGTAAAGGGCACATGATGTCTCTGTATTATTTCTTGCAACTGTTATGAATCTACAATTATCTCAAAGTAAAAAGTTTAGTTTTAAAAAGCAAATAAATAAGACAGTGCTTTAAAACCAGAAGATAAATGATAAGCAAACTTGAAAGTTAGGGTCGCACAGCAAATGTGAACACCAGCAGTTATGAGCACGAGAGCACATGTTAAATCCATGACAATATGGGAGATCTAGAACTAAGTTAAATCTCTTAAATACCTCTGGAGTAAAGCACTCTCAGTTTAGGCTATCAGGATCCCCACAAATTAAGTTCAACTAAGTAGGGGCTAGTAATATAAAAAATTACCAAACACACAAGGAAACAAACAGAGCCAATAGATAAACTCCAGATTTAGATCCCCAAGAAAATAAGATATTTTCACTTTTCTGATACAGAGTATAAAAGGAGTAATTAAACTTGATAAAAGGTGAAAATTAAAAACAAGGGAAGAATCAGAATGGAAAATGACTATGCAGGCTATAAAATGAAATAGAATTTATAGAAGTAAAAAACCCTATAAATATAAGACTTCAATATCCTCAGGAAAAAAAAACCCCTATAAATTAGTGATTAAAAAGAATAATTGTTAAAGTTAAAAACTCAGTGGGGGCAAGATGGCAGACGAATAACACCACCAGACAGAGTGTCTCTGCAAAAAAGACAGATTCTAGCAGAAATTAGAGGAAAGAAGCAAGAACACGAGCATACAGGGACATTTGGGCCGGAAGGAGGGTACCTGAGACCCGAGGAGACTCCACGGGAGGAGGCGCTGGAGGAGAACTGAGGCTGAGACCACCGGAGCAGCCCGGAGACCAGCGGCAAGGGTAGGTGGATTTGCTGTTTCCCCTCCCCTGCATTTGGGACTGCTGGTGGGCTCCCCAGCGGGTGGAGAGACCTGCGGACACAGCCCAGAGACTGCCGCCTGCCAACGGTGAGCCTGTAAGACGTGGCACCAGGTTCCCAAATTCCTCTGGCACCTCCGTGTGCACAGACCCAAGCCACGTGGCAGGCGCATATTGCCTCCTCCTCCCCTCCCCCGACCCTACCCGCGGCTGCCAGAGAGACAATACAGCCACCAGCCGGAGGCACCTCCAGGGAACGGGACTTCCGTTTGGGACCCTACACCTGACTCACGGAACTCAGACTGTGAGCTCCCTAATGCCCGCCCTCCCAGGTGCTGCTGGCACCATGTTCCCAGGAGAACAGTGCCGACTCAGAGGCTGAGAAACAGAGACCCAGCTTGGGCTCCCTGTGGGTGAATTGGATGGAAACCTCTCCCGGTGGTGGGATACAGTTGAACTCTGGGACCCAGAGGTCGGACCTGCAGACCAGATCCCCTGCACCGAGGGCTAGCATTGCCCGGGCACAGAAGGTTATACGTGAACAGCCTACTGAGGTGTGTGTGCCTCCAGGGTCGGATCGGCGTCCTAGAGGGCAACCCTCCTCCCAGGAGGAGGCTGTGCGCCCAACCCAGGTGGCGTTCCTGTGCAGGGAACCTCCCTGCATCAACAGTCCGGGGAGGCCTGGTGGCTTGTGATCTGGCTTGCTGCAGAGGCCAGGAGTAGCTGCGGAGTTGGGAGGGTGGAAAGAAGCGAGGCCTGCTGCAGACTGTGGGTCTCAGACAGCCCAACCCCACACCCAGACTTTCTGGCTGAGCAGGACCATTCCAGCCCCGCCCTGACAGCTTTCCTGAAGCCGAGAACAGAACTTTGACCCCTGCTAACGGCCTGAGGGCAGGCTTACCCAACCCAGCTCCGCCCAGAACAAGAGCTGTTAACAGGACATAAAATCAACAGTACAGCCTGTTCCTCCAAGCAAACGCCACCTACTGACAGGGACGGCAACCTGCACAGCCTTTCCACGACACCCACTGACTCAATATACAGGGAGTGGTCCAATTTCACCCACAGACACCACCTAACGCCTCAGAAACTAAACAAGGTGTATGAATACCTAAACAATAACTAAGGAGAAGAACAACAACTGATGACATGGGAATGAATCAGCGAAAGAACTCAGGAAATATGAAGAACCAAACGGAAAACACACCCCCAAAGAGGAGCACCAGCCCCCTAGAAACGGACACCAACCAAAATCAGGCAACCAATATGAACAGAAAGGAATTTGGTATGTGGATCATAAGAACACTCACCCAGCTGCAACAACAACTCAATAACCAACACAAAGAAACCACAATAAGCCTCCAGGATATGGGAAAAGAAATAGCACACAATGAAGAAAAGTTTAACCGAACTCCTGGAAATGAAGAATCAATTCAAGGAACTACAAATACAGTGAAATTTCAGGAACAGGTAGATCAAACAGAGAAAGAATCTCAGAGCTTGAAGATAAAACTCTCCAATTAAATAAATAATCAGTCACAGAAATAGAGCAGAGAAACAAGAGAAGAGGCAAAGCCTACAAGAGCTGTGGGATTATGTGAAGAAACCTAATGTGAGGGTTATAGGGTTACAAGAAGGGGAAGAAGACAACACTCAAGGGTTGGACAAGCTGTTTGAAAATATAATGGAGGAAAATTTCCCAGGCCTTGCTCAAAATCTCGATATACAAGTTCAAGAAGTTCAGAGGACCCCTGGAAGATTCAACGTAAACAGGAAGACTTCACGACATGCAGTCATCAGACTGACCAAAGTATTAACTAAAGAGGCCCTTCTAAGAGCTGTAAGACAAAGGAAGCAAGTAACATACAAGGGAAAGCCAATTCGAATAACATCAGACTTCTCTAATGAGACTTTACAAGCAAGGAGAGACTGGGGCCCCATTCTCACTCTTTGAAACAAAAC